GGGGGGTGGAGTGCGCCTCAGACTCAATGCGTGCATCCGTGCGTGTGTATGGGGGGGGGGGTAACAATGGCACAATTCGGCCAGGTTAATCAAGCCACGTAATGGGTATTACTTTGGGGTGTAATCAGATAACCCTACTTGTCAGGCTTGCGATATTAGGTTGGTGGACAGTCAGGCTGCTGGCAACGTTGTTTAAACAATTCGTAGCGCGTGGGATTGACTTGCATTTGACGCTTTTCCTGAAAGCAAAGTGCACATATATATAATATTTGAATCTTTTCCTGTTCTGTGGTTCCTTAACTCTAGCCACAATTTCATATGAAGATCTAATATCCGTAATCGACGCTTCTAAGATTTACATGTGCTGTCCGTGAATTTGGGTTTACACGATTTCCATAAAATTTGCAAGCTTGCGCTTGTCAGTCCTTGCTTCATAGACGTCTTTCGCAACACTGGTAGTCAGGGAAATATCTTAAGTGTATGTATCATTGACTATGTCAGCTTTTCAAAACGTTATTTGACTGTAAATCTTTGTAAAACGGAGTAAGATGAAAGGACGGTGTGCATCAACCCCCGCAGAAATGGCCTCGTCCGTTGCCATGGCAACGGGCATGGTTACGCAATGCAACGTTCGCTGAAAAATCGGACATTAAATCCTGGGCAAACATTGTTCAAAAATTGGGACCTTAGCACTAATCGTTGATTTTTGGTGAATATTTTTCATTTCTATTAAGGTCTCATTCTTGAGTTTTTGTTAACTATGGCCGCCTATGGCAAAATACGTAACTTTACATAGGCCAAAACCCTATAATTTGAATGACAGCCATCTAGTCTATCCAATCAATTTTGAGCACAATGGCCCTACATTACGTCAAAAAATTCCCAACCAGATCTAACCCAACAATCTCTTTTTATTTAATTATAAACTGCACTTGGCCACTCTCCGCCAGAGGTCCTCCAGCGCTGCTACCTCCTGACCGCATTACCCATCACAACAGCGTGTAAACATCCGACCTGTCGCGCGGATGTCAACACTTACCCACTAATTTTAGCACATACAAACAACCTCTCATATCACAAGCGGTTTACGCCAACTGACTTAGCTAAAATGCAATTTCTGGCGGATATAAACACACATCCATACACGCATTTAATTTTTAGTACGATCTACTTTAGAGTACCCACGCGGAAGAATACCGGAATGAGACCTTAAAGTGGGAAAAGATGGCATACATATAAACGCCCCACAGCGGCCGTTTTACTAAGTGCAGGTTTAAACCCAGGGAACCCGGTCGCCACAAATAATTCACACCATTCTGTGTTTTAGCTTCATTTCAATACAATACGTTCGGTCCAAATAGTCACGACTATATATAGGACAACGTTAAGTGCGACTCACCACCTAAAACGGGTGTAGTGCGTCTTCCGGGACTAATTTTACCGGAGCTCTTTCCCTTCCATGCTCACTCCGGCCATCTTCCTGCAGCGTGGTCTTACCACCTGATATGGAATCACCAGAATTTGCATATTCTCAATTAAGTAATTAGATTACAATAAACACCGGTGTGATCTTGCCATCTGTTGATGAATCATCATAATTTTATGCATTTCTTTGTTAAGCTTTATAACGTAATAGACCAACAATATTTTCATCATATCATTATTTGCCTTACAGATACATGATTCAACCAAAAAAATATTCATTAAATCGTTTTTTTTCCAATAAATGACCATATTTACAGTTGGTTTAAACGGGTTTAAATGAGTGTTTGAGAAACGGTAAAACTTTGGGTATTTTTTTCGCCCTCTGTAACAAACACCCTTTCTTTCATTGTCATTTCTTTCTTTCATTGTCATTTTCCCTAAATTTAGTGCGTTGAATGTCTCTATCTAAACTAATAAGGTTTAAGAATAATCAAACGGCTGCCTTATCACTTACCTTTCTATTCAGAAGGAAACCGGTTAACCCTGCTTCTATAGTTCTGACACGTTAAAATCGCCATGGATCAAAAGCGCTCCACAACGGCGATGAAACATCACTGCAGTAATAGTAGCAACGTAACTGAGCCAACGTATTGCTGCAGTCCTGTAGAAGACTGCTAGGGGCCGCTTTTGATCCATGCACTGCACTTCACCTTCGTAATGTACCTTATGCTTATCACTTACCCTTCTATTGTGTTGGGCCGGCAGTATACTACATACCCGGAAGCCTTGTGAACTTTGGAACTTGAACCTCTTTCCGACCGCATTGCTGTCACATGTACCCATAAATAACTCCGCCTGATTGTAAAGCTTAAGCTAACTTTTGATTACTAGTATTTCTTTTCTATATATAAGTTGTTAAGTTTTACTCTATACCTATCTATTTTACTATGCTACATACTGTTACCTATTTGCCATACAATGTACCCTGTACAATTGTCGTGCAATAAAGGTCTTCTTCTACAATCTTTGCCCGAACTTTGCAAAAAAAAGACAGTCGTCTCGCTTCTGTTGCTGGCTTCCTCCGACGAGGGGAGATCTGCACGGTCGGCAGCTGAGGAACTCGCTCCAGTACTCCCAGGCCAGAGGGACCAAAAGATACACCAAGTGTGCGAAGCCAATGTTGGCTAAACTCGTCACTGAACTGTTATGAACTGTTTTGATTCGAGAGCAGTCTCGCCTTTAACGATTCTGCACAATAATGCTGCTTTTAATATCCTTGATGTTGAACCACCACGCTATATTTATAGTGTGGAAAACCATGTCGACAATTATTGAACGTTATTTGTATATATTTGTATATGTACTATATTAGCTATATACGTAGCCTACATCATCATCATCATCATCATTCATCCTCCGTAGAGGTGGAGCATACAAAGTTAGCTCGCCACAACTGTCTGTCACACATCACTGAGAAAAGTAGCCTACAGTGTTACATAGTTTTACTGAATATGTGGAATGTAAAATTCGGCGCAATTCAGTATATACTACAAGGCCGATTTGTCCCGTGTTTTTACCAATAAACCATTATACTATTACTATTCAGAAGGAAATATAGTTGTGAACACGTTAAATTCGCGATAGATCGAAAGCGCCCCACAGCGGCGATAAAAAATCACTGCAGTAATATGAGCAACTGAGCCAACGTATTGCTGCAGTCCTGCAGCAGACTGCTAGGGGCCGCTTTTGATCCATGCACTGCACTTCAGCTTCGTAACGTGTTCGCAACCTATTACCCTGAGACAGTCCTATCGTGGATCAGACACTTCATGGATTACCCTTTACAATATACACGTGTACTGTCTATTGACATTGCATTTTAAGAAATACAAACAGATACTGCTTGGTGAATCTTCATCGCATCTTTATTTATTCAATCAAGGTTCTTGATATTATGTACAAAACATAACAAAGTGCACTATATGCCACAATATCAGAACATAAACAGGTAACACAACATTTAGTCTGACAAGACAATCAACAAGGAATGTAACAGAACGGTTCCTGATTCTACAAATAACTAAACGTTCCAACTGGAACAGACTAACCCTAACAAAATATAGGGGAGTGACAGCATCGCTGTTCCCAAGTTGGCCAGCACTGGGGGACAGCAATGCCTCTTCCCCACCTTCTTTACAACAACAAAAATGAGCTTCGCTCAACAAGTTTTACTTCACTATTACCTAATCAACTCAAGTGAATGCACATGAACAATTATTTAATCTAAGATAGTTTCTAGGCTTTTCTGTTCTGTAATATTGCACATACAAGAAGCCCGTTTTTAAAGACATCTCTCTCTATTTACACAGAAATACATCTCTTTATGAAAGCGGACAGGGTTTTCTTTTTCTTCATAAATGTATCAAATGCCCCACATGTGTGAAAACGACTGTAGTTGGATCTCCTGTCTTCCTGGGTACAAAAATATAGGAGACTTTTTTTTGTGGCACGATAAAAATAGAGTTCTTTCTTCCGAGTCATCTACCTTCCTAGATAAGTGAACTATGAGTGACTATTGCACTAGTGAGCCAATCATCTGATTAGTCAAAATGGCTCTTTTGCGTTTTTTTTAGAATCCCTCACTTGTTCATCAACACTGGTGAAGTACTAGAAGCCATGTGTGCTCTCTGAAGGACATTACGCTCTGCACCCCCTATCTTCAATAATAGAATGGTCGACTCACCATAGGCGTACACTATGTAGGCATATACCATTTTAGGTCAAGGGGGCTATAACATTAATTACACAAAAGAAGAGATAGTGAGTCCTACCAACAGCAAGGGATAGGCTACAATGTCACTTCCTCTTCCCTCAAATAAAAAAAAATGGTGAGAAATTTCTACAGCAAAGTGAAAACATGCTTTGTTTAACCCTCTCTTGGCCTCTCTCTAGTCTGAGGGAAGCATGTGTGATGTTAAAGATGAACTCACAGCAGCAGAAAGTACATGTACATGTACAAAGCTAGGGTGAGAATACTATTGTACATGCCATGTTCAAACCTACCAATCCTCTATAGTATCTAGATAATCAATGAAACAAACATAACATCATGACATCTCACAGCCTTACCCAAGATAGTACTGAGACAATGATCAAACATCTACCCCTACATGTACATGTGATACACAGGGAACTTTGACAAAGATATGCTGCCCTACTCTACATTCTTATCCGCCAGTCACTTACCAAACTGTACACTAAACTGGCTTTTCCAGGCACTCCTTTAAGTAGTTACTGCAGCATGTCACACTGCTGTACAATAAATTGCCTTTTCTGTCATGTTTCATATAATTATAATCAGTGTCAGACATGTACAAAATAGCTACAGTCCACTGTACAGAGAATACTAGCTATATACGGAAATCTTGACAGCGACAAATGTCTAAAAATATTGCAAATTTGTTGTTGGCTCAACTGCCATCATTGCATTGCCATTGTCCTTTTTAGTCTCTTTATAACAAATTATAAATTTATAAGAGATCTTGAGCAACAAATTTTGGACTGATGTTGACTACGCCTTTTAAATGACCTTTGAGAAAGTAGACACACCTTTTAATTGCCCCACATTTCTACCATTCTGGTTTTTCTGTACACAAAACTACACATTATCATACACTTTATCTACAAACTGTGTGATCTGTAGAAAATTTACAACTTCATAGTTTTTGGGAATCAATAGCTACCAACCTTACGGAAAGAGCTACCGACACACCTCTGTATGTACATTAATTTTTCTCTGAAGTGATGCTTATCTAAAAATATCAAAAGACGCCATGAAAAATTTGCCTTCTTCCCAAGGATTAAGAAGAATGATATTTCAGTTACAGGGAGCTAAAATGATGGTGAGGAAAAAATACAAATTTTGGGGAAAAACAAATGGGCCCAAACAGTGTAACATTCCTTACTAAATAAATGGATCTGTTGAGGAAAGACCACAACTGGTGTGTGTGTGTAGTGGGATCTCATGATGAGGTTTTGCCTATAAATCAAAACAATTTTGGACCCACAGCTTGTGTATGTTTCAATTTTTCACAATCATTCCACTCAAATTATTTGACACCAGCAAAGTATGGAAAAAAACTCAAGAAAAAAGTCCTGAAACCTCCAGCTGTACTGCCTAGTTGGTGTATATTGCATCAATGTATTTTACCTTAAAGGCACCCAGTGCAGTTTTTGGGGCTTGGAAACCTGATTTTTCAATGCCAATATTCTAGTCATTTATCTACATGCTGAGGTGAAACCACACTTGTACTATCCCAGTGTCTATCAACCCTCATGAGCAAAAAGTCCCCAAAGTCTGACAGAAAATGGTTACTGGAAGGGCCCTGGGCTGATTTTCAGGGTACCGCCCAGAAAATAAAGGACTCATCTTGGGGCTTGTTTCTGCAGATTTAAATGCCCAAAGTATGAAATGCCGATTTAAATCTGCTAATGTAAGGCAGTATGTGTCAATATCACACAGATTGCCTTATCCACAATATTTCCAGTTTTGCTGCACTGAAATTGCATTGGATGCCTTTAACGTATAATGCACTGATCAAGTTCTAATTACAACTGACGCTCATAGAGGCCCCGACACATTCTGTAAAGCCCCTTTGGTTGGTTGGATCGTATGTCCCGGGGCAGTAGTAGAGGTCGTCCTATGTCCAGTTTTGCTGCACTGAAATCGCATTGCATGCCTTTAACATAATGCACTGATGAAGTTCAAATTACAACTGACGCTCATAGAGGCCCCGACACGTTCTGTAGAGCCCCGTTTGTTGGATCGTATGTCCCAGCGCAGTAGTAGAGGTCGTCCAGGTCATCCTGGTTGCGTTTGCTCTTGGCCTTGCGTTCGTACTCATCCGGGGAAACGACCTCGCAGCGGTGGCTGATGGTCTGGACGTCGTTCTCGTCCACGTGCGAGGACTGGTACAGCGCCATCTAGGGGACGACATATGCAATGCAGTCTCATCAACAGAAGTGGCAATGAAAGGTCAAGTATTATCATGTAAGTTCATCTGTGCTGGTAGTTACATAGTTACATGTTTAAACGTAAAACTTTTGTTCCAACACAGAAGAGAAATGTTCTCACCAAAGACCTTTCGACCCAGTGAGACTTGTCACATGGCTTCGCTGAAGTGTGATGTCAACACTGGGTCAAAGCTCTAATCTAGGTCTCTTTTGCGACCTAGAAGTTTTACCTTTAAACAAACGTCAAGTATATTTACTAACGGTACCATTGCTCACTGCTATTCTTGTCTTTGCCTACATCAATTATATGCAATAAATACTAACTCAACAAAAAGGGCAGGGATAAGACATGAGATAATACTTCTTGATTTGCAAATTCTTCCCAAAGTCTGGGCTCATGACTTCCCGGAGGTGCACCAACTCTTTAAGAATAATTTTTTAAGTAAAAGGGAATTCTAGCAACCACCAGTGCTGGTGACGTTTATACATGTTTTATTTTTTTTGACATGTAAAATATAACCTCCCTCACCTTGCCATCACATGCCCTCCTCCCCACGATGGTCTCCTCTGGATGATAGAACCACTTGACCTTGACCACCATGTTGCCCCCCCACGACTCCCACAAGTTCTCGATCCGCCCCACGTACGGAAGGTTGGGTCTTCCCGTCGACATGAACACAGCGGAGTCACCAACCTGGAACACAAACACCACTCCATGAGTTAACATCAAAGCCCATCTACGCCTTGGTAGATGCATATTATGAGCATGTCGGCAGAACGTACTGCACCTGCATGAAACCCTGCAATGTTAGCCTCCATAGCATGCCAAAAACTGGGGGTTTTGGGGGGCTTCAGGGTCTTTGAGAGCTTTTATGTGCTATTTTCTGATTGCATATCGACAACATAGCAGGCCTGGTTGAATTACCCGTTTTTTTGTAGAACTGAGCTAATCAGGAAACAGCCGAAGACCACCAAACCCCCAGTTCTATAAGCCTGATACGGAGGCTAGTAATATATCGTGCATAGCACTTCAGCAGAACGTTTCATATAAGGTTGTCTTCGCATATATAAGGTCTGTAGTTTCCTAATGCTATGTAGGAAAATATATCGTCTGCAACAGGTAAAATTCTGATGCAATGTTGACCAAAAATCCAACAAAACCGGTAAAAAATCAGGGTTTCCCACAGGCGCAGTACGTTCTGCCGATGTGCTCATATCATGTGTTACATGTGAAGTACCAGGAAACTAGCAGATTTTTTTTCTTAAAAAAAGAATAGAGTATGGGGGCAGTGCATAGTCTTAGAAAATCTTGATGTGAAGATGAGGCATTGTAAAGCTGCCTGATACATATCATGGGTTACAGTACATGTGAAGTACCAGAAAGCTAGCAGTTGCTTTTTTTTTCTTAAAAAAGAATAGAGTATGGGGGCAGTGCATAGTTTTAGAAAATCTTGATGTGAAGATGAGGCATTGTGAAGCTTCTTGAGGTTGAAATCATGGTCAGCCATGTAGCCTAGTTAAGCCAGAAGCAATCGATCACAATTTTCCACTATTCCTTTTAGGTCTGTAGATACATGTATTATGTTCCTGTGCTTCAGCCTCCTCTGTGACTGGCTAACCAAAACTGGAGTTGAAAGGAGTTTTGTTTTCAGAATGAAACCTTACATAAGTACATGTATGTTATACACTTCTATGAATTTAAGCTTTGAGTTCAAGCTTTGTTCCAACACAAGGAGGAAACTCACCATAAATTTTCGGTGGATCTCGTCAACCTTCGTCAGATATATGATGAACTCCCTGATACTCCGAAACTCGGAAACGTGATGATGTCATACATCTGACAAAGGTTGGCAAGATTGACCAAAAATTCATGATGAGGCCACACCAATTTAATTTGTTGTTTCTCGGATTTTAAAAAAAATGAAGCGACAGGGTGAAAATGAAAAAACAGGCCAAGGCGCCCCATGATAGCCGGAAATGTTACAATATGAGCCATGAAGTGAACATACCAGGCTGGTTTATAATTAAAACAATAGATTTTGAACTTTTAAAGAAACAAAATTGCATTGTTACATTGAAAAACTTTAAGAACTAGGAAGAAAAGGACTTTCTTCAACTGTTGGGGCCAAAATATGTCTTTCATTGAGCATTTTGCAGTTTATTTAGAACAAATTTTTTTTTTTGCAAACCAAAAAAAAATGGACAGCACGATCCGAGAAGCAACAAATTAAATTGGTGTGGCCTGAGTTTCCTTCTTGTGTTGGAACAAAAGCTTGGACTCCATAACTATGGGATTCTACCAACACAGACGAGCTTTCATTCGAAAATTTAGAACGTTTTTGATGGCAGAAGGCAGTGCAGTTACATGTATGTCTGTAGGTGTGGTACCACATACCCTTATGATTTCATGGCCCCGCTGTATGGCCTTGTAGAAGACTTTCTTGCCCTTGCCCTTGACTCCTCTGCGTTGCGTGCTCTTGCCAGACCAGCGCCAGAGCTGGCGGGCTGGCAGGAAAGCTGCACGTGACGAGGCCGAACAGTACACTACAATCAGACTGAGCGGTCAGAAGGGAGCCGTGAACAGCATGGCGGAAGCAGCGGTGGGTCAGAAGCAGGAAACACAAGGCAAAGAACAATTCTACAGGCAACACTGTTGGCTTCACAGTCATCAAGAATTATCCACAAAGTTTCACACATTTTCTTTTTTTTTTAATCTCAAAAGGTTAAAGCAACGTGTGTAACATTCTGGAGAAAATGCGGTCCGAATCGAACAAGTTATGATAATGGTTAGTACCTAGCTGTTTCTAGTACCTAGCTGTGCATATTCTGTGTTAATTCTAAACAAGTGCATCCTAGCAACATGAGCCAAGGTCCACAATCAGCTTACAAAGATGATGCACATGGAACCATTACTAAACAGGATGTGCCATCATATCAGGATACAATGTTCACTCCTGAATAGGTTTTTCAGCTGGCTGAAATATCATAAAAACAACTTCTACTTTCCATAATTTGATTGAAATTTGCCTGATTATTGCGTGGATACTAATACTGACTGAAGGCTTTATTTGAAATTCCCGTAAAACGTTTCACTCCTAATGCAAATGAGCAGCATGTGAAAAATCTGCCTTATACTCTTGTGTTACTTATAGAATTCCTAGTTTCTTATGTACCAAAGGGCTACACATATACATGTACCTTATCTATGTTGCACTTCAATTCAGCTATTTTTTCACTGTCTTCGATGATTTTCTCCAAATGTTACACATCTTGCGTCAAGAAATGGCAATACAAACATGTTTTGTTTAAAAAAATATATAAAAAAGTAAAGGAACTAGATACCTGAACTTTTCAAAAGCCAACAGGTATGTATCATGCACTAAGTACAAACCTAACTTCAGTTGATGTAATTGTGATATTTCTATATTTTGGGTATATAAAAGTGACTTCTGTCATTTTTTCGTAAAAAAGGTTCCAAAAATATCTAAAAAAAATGTATTTCTCCAATAAAAGAAATTGATATTCTTTTGTTTGGAAAAGTTACTATGATTTGAGGAACTTGGTTGGTCATTCAAATACCTTTGCAAAATCATTATCACAAAAACCTCACTGAAGTCAGATTTGTGAGACAGCATGCTACTGTCCTGTAGAAAAAAAAAAAGAAAACTCCTCGAAGTCCTACTGAGGTTCTACTATCATTTCAGGAAAAAAAATTAAAATCACGCAGGACTCTACATTTCTACATGCAGGGATGGGTAGGCATGGCAGCAGGCATGGTGAACAGGATGCATACACAACCAGACATTACAAACTCAAACTTTTACAATCGATAGGCTAATTACGAGAAAATCTAAAACTATCATCTGTTACAATTTAGTTGGCATCACTTGGTTCCTGGCTGCTCCATGTATGGCATAAACTGCTTTCAGGCTTTGTGTGCAGGATTTCAAAAGTCAGTAGCATTTAAGATCACTTTTCACACTACAAAATCTAGTCTGTGTAACGCAAACTCTGCCGTCCGCGGCTTTGGGGGCGGCTGGATGTTGGGCGGTCGGCAACCGTAAAGCGATTTAATCAGGCTATACAAAATCCAACAGCAAAAAAAAGGAGTTTACCCTCATTTACACAGGACATCTTCTGAGTTTCTGTGACATTTCTTCCTTTCCTCAAAGATACTGTCAATGGATATATGTATGATGAATCAAAAGTAACTTCCTTGAACAGAAACTGTTTGGGAAAATGTTGGTTTTGTGACCAATGCTTTCATTGCACAAAAATGCTGAGCCTGAAGCAGTTATGCCATAGCAATGGGAACCATAGAACCTTCCCAACTGGAGCTTGACATGCTATGCCTCCGTTACATGCAATTATTATGGTTTTAATTCTTTGCTTCGGATCCATTCGCCCATCATGCGTACAGTAAGAAAGGCAGCTTACGTGCTATCTTGCTTCTGCTTTCAACGGAGGGCGTCTTGTCAGCAGAGCGGCGTCTAGTCTTGCTACCACGTGCCGGGGGTTTCTGGGTGCCAACAACCAATAGTAGGTGAGAAGGCAAAAACCATGCACACCAGAAAACCAACTCAAGCCTTCTGAGTCAATGGTAGGGAAGTGCAAGAGGAGTGATGTTAAAATGGATCATTTCAAACCATGCTATTAAACCTGTATATGTTGTAACATTGACAAGGTTTGCACAACTCTTATTACCATGCGACATTCTCAAAAATTATCAATGTTTGAGTTGCAGTCCAACACTTGGAATATGCAGCCACGAAATTAGACAAGACATTGCAAGTCTCTCTCAGAAAGGTATATTGAATACACAGTCTCAGAAAGGTATATTGAATACACAGTCCTCGCATAATTTGTTTCACTTTTGCAGGTTATGTGACTGTAAACTTCATGCTTACAGAATCGGTCCCAAGTGAATTAGGCATGATATATTTTCATTTTCATAAAAAAAAAAGGAATCGAATAAGGCTAAATACTACCAGTATCCCCACCTTTGTTGGTTTCTTGATGTCCTCTGACCTCTCACTGCGAGTGTCCTCAGAGATGTCATCATCATCCTCAACATCTGACGTCACATTGCTCGGAGCAATACTGTTGGAGTCAGCAAAACTCTGGGCCTCAGAATCATCCAAATTGGACTCTTCCTCGAAGTCCGGTGGGGCAACCTTCGCTGAGGACGCCTTTGCCTTTGTTGTGACATCAGATGCTTTTCCTTTCTGGGACTTCTGGGTTTCTTGTGCTCCTGTGTCTTTCTTGGCTTGTTTTGCTGCATCCTTCTTGGTCGTTTTCTTGGCTGGTGTTGAGTCAGATGCGCCTGTGTCTGAGGATTCTGCCTTTTTGGCCTTCTTGGTCTTTTTCGTGGTGGTTGTGTCTCCTGCAGTCTTCTTCTTCTCACCCTTGGTGGAGGCAGATTCATCAGACACATCGCTGGAGACCTTCTTTTCTTTCTTGCTAGACTTTGTCGGTTTCTGGTCCTCTGATGCCGTGCTCGGTTTGGAGAACTTTTCCGAGTTTGTCTTGGATTTTGGAATGGGAGACGGTTTTTCATCGCTGTCCAGCTTCACCTTTGGCTCTTTTTTGCTGTCCTTAGACTTGAGCTTGCTGGCTTTTTCTCCTGAGTTGGACTTCTTGCTCTTCTTCGAAGTGCTGCCGGCAGAGCTGCTTCGAGCAGGAGATGCCTTTGGGCTGTTTTTAGGGCTGCTTTTTCTAGATGAAGATCGTCCATCCTCCTCCTCCTCCTCAGAAATGACACCCAGATCGCCAGTGTAGGAGTCGTAATCCAGCAACAGGGGCAGTACAGATTCTGATTTAGCCTTACCTGGTGTAAAACAAAAAAAAGATCAAAGTAAGTGCCTCAATATTACAGCATCTTACTACATTAAAAAATTCCTTGTCAAAAAATTTTTCTTAAAAAAAAATTTCCTTGTCCAAAAATTTTTGGTAAAAAAATTTCCTTGTCAAAAGAATTTGTCAAAAAATTTTTCTTTTACCACATCAACTTCTATGCAAAAAAAATCATAGCAAGACTACATAAAAAGGATGCGTTCTTTGTATCATTGTTTGATACTCACCTTTCTTTGCTCGAGATTGTGCAGTGGACGCTTTCTTGGTCGGTGCTTTAGTTTTCTCCGGCTGCGACACGACGTTGTCCACCTCCTTCTGGTCCATGAGGACCGTGCTAGAGTCCGTGTCAGAAGTGTCGCCCTTCGCGTCTGACAAGCCGTCCTTAGAAACGTCTCCCGACCGCCGCCGCCTCTTCCCGTGGAGCATGATCGGGTTCATGCTAAAGTCTGGAAAACAAATTACGAAGGTTATCCCACTCCTTTGTTTTAGCTTTAAGTCTTCATTTGCAATCTTCCATGCTTTAAAGCTAACCAGCACATCAAGCTCTGATGTGGCATGCTTCTGCAGGCCTGTTGGACTCCATGTGGCGTCATTTCTTACCTGGAATAAGAAACATGCTGACCATGCTCTTACAAAGCAGTACCTTTATCTTATGCTACCTTTTTCAGTTTGGCCTGAAAGCAAACTACAGTACTTTCAGAAGAATTTTTCTCCATCCGTTATGGGTACATGTACCTTTGTGTATGTAAACCAGCTATTAAATATTTGTTTGTCTTGCAAACCACAGGACTGGTAATATCCTAAAAAGATATTTTTGTAACACTGAAAATTTGCCACTTCATAACAAATCCAGTTTGTCAGATATGGATTTCTTAGTCTTAGTCTGTTTTTTTCTGACAGAAAACTGCACACATATCAGAAGATTTGCCTCCAAGTACTAGTAACAAATCCAGTTGGATTTCTTAGTCCTAGTCTGTTTTTTCTGACAGAAAACCGCACACATATCAGAAGATTTGCCTCCAAGTACTAGTAACAAATCCAGTTGGATTTTTTAGTCCTAGTCTGTTTCTTCTGATAGAAAACTGCACACATATCAGAGGGAGAGAAACCATTCCTTCTCCAGGCCAGAGGACAGACAGTTCCTAGAGGGGGGAGGGGGGCATGCTGGAGCTAGAACACGTAAGGCAAGTTGGATGCTGCTTGCCCGGTGCAAGAGTATAGGTTACTGTGCCAGCCACACTGCACAGGGAGCCTTACCACCGCGCTCCTTACCAACAACGGGGTAGTTAGGAGGAAGGAGCCGAACGTGGTCCAGCGGGATGCGGCCCGAGTCGCCGTCGTCAAACTCCACGCTGACGAAGGTCTTGTCGTCGTCACTACCATCGGGGGAGGGGCTCACTGTCAAATGATAGATAGGATTAGGGTTAGCACTTTAAAACTTGACTTTGTTTGTAAACCACCTTATTTTAAGGCTGACACAGCAGTTTTGTACATGTAAGTAAAAGTTGCTTAAGACTGGACTGTAAGGTTTGAACGGTTTTGAAACTCTGATCATCTTACATTTAAAGGGAAAATATCCCCTCCACAAATAGATTCAAGAGAAATTAAATATTGTTGTTAACTCTACATACCCATTACCTTGTGTACAGGAAGGCAACTTTCTAAGTCATCAGGGACAAGTGACCAGCTTTTGCCAATATTTGGGTATACATCTAAAAAATATGAAAACATCCAAAGGACCACCGACAACTACACTCAACTCAACCCCATGATTTGCCACTCAAAATGTGGGAAATTGCGTTTCTAAAGGCTTGAAAATCCTAAATTTGTCCCCAGACCCCCCCATAGATTGCAAGCAGTTTTTTTAGCACTCTCTCCCACGGTGCTATAATGAACCTAGGCTGACAGAAAAAAATTTTGGTTAGAGCACTCATTAATAGACTTACTCCTAGCGACAGTTCCGGGGTAGAGACAGCGGTACTGTTGGCTCCAGTAGGCACACACCCGAGCACCCTCAGGCAGGAACCTCACTGAGCCTGGCTTCACGTCATGGAGCTGTGGGGTCAGGGAGACTGCAGGTTAGACATGTTCATGAAACTGCTCACCATGAGCTCAGCAGAATCTTCAGCTAGTTGAAGGTGGCTGCCTCAAAATGAAAGAAGAAGAAGAAAGAAAGAGGAAGTGGAGAACACTTACAGCCTCTTGCAGAATCTGCTCCTGGGAGTACACCTGGGGTCGATGACCTCTCTGCCCATCAATCACAGCACCATATCTGCAACATTCGTATCAAAATAATACAAGATCAGTATGCTTCAAAGTTTTATATTTCTGACATTAAACATAGATGCTCGTGGGATATCAAAAGCTCATGTAATATCAGCAGCCTTTGTGTTGCTGTTTCTCACAAAATCTAAGTAACAAAAACATTTCCGCCAGTGGTCTAAATTCTTTCGCTAAATTGGCAGCAGTTTTGCAGTGTGTGAGTAAAAAACTTAAAGGGAGTAGAGGGAACACTCTCCAGAGGTATAGGCTTTGGCAAAATTGCAGTGTTTTTAGGCACTTTTATCAAGCTCTCTTTTTTTGTACTGGTAAGATTTTTTACGCCAGCCTTACTCGGGTGGCAAATGGTGACTGACTGGCAAATGGATACTGGCTGACCAATTTGATGCTGTCTGAAAGATCTGCTTGAAGATTACAGAAGGAAGAAGACACTCACACGTCAGGAGGCTGTATCTCGTCCACGTATCCCGTGTGGAACAGTCCGTCTATGGGGATGATGACCCGCAGGCCATCTCTCAGCTCCTCCTTCTGGATGTTGACTAGTCGAGGCTCTGCAAAAGGAAAAATCAACAATATTTTACTTGTACTGTCATGAAAGTTCATCTGTTTTGGTAGTTTAAAGTTAAAACTTGACCCAGTGTTGACGTCACACTTCAGAGAAGACACGTGACAAACCTCACTGGGTCAGTCTATTGAAGAAGACCGGAGTTACTGGTCAAAAGCTATAGATGAAAACAGCTCTTTGTGTTGGAACAAAAGTTTTAGCTTTACACAAATATTTTACTTGCTTGATGTGGTTTCTGCTAGAAACAAAATTACAGATGAAGGTAGAAGCACATGAATACATCACACATTAGCACGTCGGCAGAACGTACTGCACCTGCGCAAAACCCGTAATGTATTATACATACCACCTCGGTAGAACATCTCATATAAGGTCGTATTTGTGCATATAAGGTTAACATCCCGCCTGTAGTTGCCAAATGTTATGTTGGAAAATATATCCTCTGCAACGAGAAAAATTCTAATGCAATGTTGACCAAACATCTAACGAAAACCCCGAAAAATCAGGGTTTTGCGCAGGCGCAGTACGTTCTGCCGATGTGCTTCACACATTATAGTACAACTCCAAGTGATTACCTGGTGTGGATGGTCTCTGCTGGTCCACATAGTTACTGAGAGGTAAGTTTTCCCCGTCGCTGAAAGACTCGTTGGAGACAGAGTCCTGCTCCATGGGTGTGGGGGTGGGGAGAGCAGGGGGTAGGGGTGGGGCTGGTAGTGGGGGTGGGGAGGTCACGACAGGGGTGCTGGCTTTGACTTTGGGTGCCTTGGGAGGTGCTGTAGATGGGATGGCCTCTGTAGGTGTCTGTGGAAGGAAGAGAAGAACACTGTCATTTTCCTTCTTTTTGCCTTTTAAAAGCATGAATTGGTATACTATGACCATATGATGGTCATCTTTTTGTTTTTTTTCTTTGTTACTAGTATTTCAAATAGAAAATTCAGTTATATTATCTATCTATCACCAACAATTTTTGGCATCAAACAATGTCATAACACATTTGAATGCACTTTGTCTTGGAAGTCTAAGTGATGTTACATTGACACAGTTATCAAAGAAGCAAAGGATTTGATATGTCTTTTTTTACACTAATCAGTAGGTACATGTATGTTGGTGCAGGTTAGACATCCAGGTAAAAAGCAGTTACTCGAGCAAATGGATATGATCTTGGAAACGGTCAAACATTTCAGGTAGCATCCGCTAGCTTTCGTCAGTGCCACTGACACTGACCGTTTCCCAAATCAAATCCATTTGCTTGAGTAACTGCTTTTTGGCTTAATCAGTAGGTAGTATATAAAACCTTACTGAAGTACTGGGTGTCTTCTTAGGTGCTTTTGGCTTGCTGGCCTTCTTGGTCTGAGTAGCATCTTCCTTGGCAGCCTTGCTTGCCTTACTGGTCTTCTTCTTGGGTTTACTGACAGGTGCATCTCCAGGGTGTACAAGAGGCTCTGTGGGGGTTTCCTTGGTACTGTCTTTCGTCTTTTTACTCGAGGAAGGCTAAGATCAAAGAAAAGGTCAATGTATTTCCTGGTAACTCAGCATTGTACTCATACATGTAGTTCTAAAAGTTTACTAAGGCAGGCACTATTGGAAATGTCATTACCTACATATTAGTTCAATGAGTGTGTCAGGACACAATTATATACTGTAATTCACTTTGTCCTCAAGGTAGCAAAATTTCACAGTCTGAGGAAAATGGACATGTTCGCTGAAAGTGCAGGGATGACACCAAAACAGAAATGATTTCATAAGGGTAATGATAGGTTCATGGTAGAGAAGTGACCGTGACAACAACATAAAAGTATTGTAAAATTTCAGGAATTACGGTACATAACTGATAAAGACAGATTGTAGAAACTGTGTCTATCCAAAGAGGATTGTTTTTTGGCATAAACATGTACCTTTGTGGATGTTTCTTCATTCTTCTCTGTCTTGGTTTTCTTCACCTTGCCTGAAGGGGTGGAAGAAGCCGTTTTGCCACTTGGCACGGGACTTGCCTTGCTGGAAGGAGTGGCTGCCTTAGCTGCTGGAACAGAGGTGATTTTGTTAAAAGGAGTGACCGTTGCAGACGGACCCTTGGTGGGTGAGGTGGGGGTTGTCAATGTGGTTGCTCCACTAGATGTTGGTGGTTCGTGTAAAAAGATTCGCTCACTTCTTCGGCGCGCCCAAGCATCGTCATCGAGAAGCGGGACCTCGTCTTCCACGGGTTCCGGCTCCTTGACTTTCTTCTTCTTGGGCCGAGAAACTTTTCCTTCCGTGCTGGTGTTCTTGGACTTCTTGGGCTTCTTGGGTGTCGGTGTATCTGATGTGGAGGTGGTGGTCTTCTTGCTGGGTTGCGTAGGCTTCCGTTTTTTGGATCCCTTAACCTCTGTTGCTGGGGCTTCATCATCAGCATCTGAAATTCAAACACATTAGTTCTAGCAGATGAAATCGAAAAACTTTAAAGGTAAGATAGTCTGGCTCGGGTCATTGACCTTTTTGGTTTGGAGAAGAAGAGGAAACAGAGCAAAAAGATTTTTTCCTTCGGTAAAGATAATGAATCAAAGATTGACAAAATATTACAATGAAAATCACTGAAATTTTCCAGTACATCCAGGTTTGAGAAAAGATAGGGATAATTTTTTTTACCATCGTTGTTTGAAGGTTTCTTCCTTTTCTTGCTTGTGCTAGGTGCGATGGGCATACTGGCAGCACTGGAGGCAGCATACTTAGCAAGAAGACCCAGGCCTGATGTTTCACTGTACGTCATGGTGTCTATATCTAGATCAGCATCACTCCAATCATCTGCTGGTTAAAACAAAACAAAAAACACAAATTAAACTTGTGCCCTCGGAACACTATCTTTGTTAAGGGGCATGCACTGGAGTACTCTAAAAGCAATCCTAGCTTAAAGGCTTGCTACATATACCATATACATGTACTAACAACAACTGAAAGAAAAGGTAATATTTTATGCCCTGAAGGCATTATAGCATTTCTGTTACAGATCTGTTCTTTCACAACTGGGGATCTACTGCAAAATGGGAAACTTGGCAAATGTTCTGTTTGATCCTATTTTGCAGTTTGTTCCAAATCTAGTCAACTAAGAATATGGAAAAACATTGACTAGTGACTGAAAGTATGCCTTGTTGTTACTTTTTTTGCTATGCCAAAACTGTTAAGACTGACTCTTGCCAAACTTGACCATTCTATAGGACTCAATTCACAAGTAAACTTGTCAGGATACATTTAAAGACATTTTACCCACATTACCTAGGACATGGTGGACAACTTGTTCCATGCTAGATCTTTTAGTGCTTTGGGGTGCGAGGGCTCAGAATAGTGCAAGAAAAGGAGCTGGCATGCAACAAAACGCTGGGTACAATAATAAACATGATAGGAACAGAAAGATGACTTTGAGCAGGGTTCTAGCTAGCGCGAAGTAGCGTAGGGGCCCCCTACGCCATAATTTGGACCCCCTACGCTAAATTTCCCCCTACGCTACCGGTAATTTGAAATACAGCATAGGGGCATTGTGACTGTATTTCTTTGGTCAAGAATGCCAGATCAAATGTGAAAAATTACCAATCAAGAATACATTGTACACACCTTAGAAATAACATTTTTTTCCTTTGGGTATTCCTCAAATGGCCTCTTTTTTAGCTCAAATTTTTACAAGCTCCGCACCGCGGAAGGGAAAGACCCCTCCCGCCCCATTCCCCCCTCTCAGTCGCTTCGTTCCCTCGACATGCGGCCAGTGTCACTAAGCTAAAATTAAATCCTACCTAGAACCCTGCTGAGACTATTGCTTGAGTACAAATGTATAACATCAAGAAACATGCGACGGCAAAAAAGCGTGGTTAGTGACGAGACAAAATGAACGAAAACAGGACGGAACCAACGGAAATTTTGTTAGGCGTGGGCTCTACCTACTAGTCTACAGCTCCAGGTCAAAGGTCAGCAGGAAGTATGGCATGGCGCATGCAGCGGACAGAAGGGCGGGCGGCATGAGAGGTTTCTATGGCAACCCACGCCCTTTTCCTCAAAGGTCATTTTCGGCCGATCGTCAGAGAGATTGTCTGGAACATTCTTCACTTTCTCTCCATGTCACATCATTATGAGTTTGGGAATCATCGCTTTCAAAATCAACCAGGACATGGAGGGAACTCTTACAAATAAATTGAACATAAAATCAGAATGTGATATGTACATTAATCATAATATTTACAATCATTCAGGGGGGCAGGAGTAGGTAGGAAGGTTGGAGATTGATACATAATTTATCCTCTATATTTGTACATTTCTACAAGAGGAGATTCCGGAGTTGTAGCAAGGAAATCTCCAAGGAGTCTTAAAGATGAAGGTTATTGACCTTCGGAATGCGAGCGACGTGAGAAATCGTCCTCATCACTGTCACTGTCACTTCCTTCATCCACTTTCTTGGGCTTGGCCTTGGGTGTTACAGTCTTCTTAACCTTGGGCACTTTGACTTTGCTGTCCTCTGTCTTCTGCTTCTTCTTAGGTTTGGAGCCGTCCTTGGACTTCTTGGTTGTCTTGGGAGATGTCTTGGAGGAGGGGGCCTTTGTTGGGTGGGGTAGAGAACTCCAGAAGACGTCCTCGTTGACAAGATCATCATCTAAGAAAGGAACAAAAGACACATTCCTTAAAAGATCATCACATTAGTTATCAAACTGAATGTTATTAGGGCTCAAAGTAGTGAAATATGTCACAAAATCGCAATGCTCAGCTTATTCTACTTGTTAATGGCATCCAATGCAATTTCAGAGCAGCAAAACTGGAAGTATTCTGAATAAGGCAATCTTTATGATATTGACACATACTGCCTCAGTGTAGCACATTTCAGTCAGTATTTTATACTTAAGGTATTTAAAACTGCAGAAACAAGCCCAAAGATGAGTCCTTTATTTTATGGGTGGTACAGTACATGGTGTCAACTGAAGGATGAACTGAATTGAAAACTGAACCCTAAAAATCAGCCAAGTTCCCTTCCAGTAACCATTTTCCATCAGAATTCTGGATATTTTTTGCTCCATGAGGGTCAATATACATTGGGATAGTGTGTGGGATAGTGTAATTTCAACTCTGTATGTATAGATAAGTGACTAGAATATTGACTTCGAAAAATCGGGTTTCCAAGCCCTAAAAACTGCACTGGGTGCCTTTACATGTGTAATATTTGAGGCTGAGTAAGAAGGATGTGTAACTCCAAACAACCAACCTGAGTCATCGGACTGGGGCAGAGACTGGGTGAGAGAAAAAGACCTCTTCCGAGATGGTGTGTTTGAGGTTGTGGTCTTATCCTTGGACTTCTTACTTCCCTGGCCTGTGCCTTTGGTTGTTGAAGTGGCTGAGGCCTGGGAGTCCTTGTCTTTTTTCTTCCCCTTTCCTGAAAATGAAAGAATGTGATGGTCATAAGATTGTGTGAATTCCTACCATGCTAAAAACATGTTATATACTATACACACTATATAGAAACATTGCCGTTTCCTTTGTCAATCTTACAACATGAGCATACAACATAAACTTAAAAAACTAGAAAGGTAACATTTGCAAAGCAAATACATAATCTTTACCTTCGCATATGGTCTGCTCTGTTAATTTTTACTCAAACACATTCATACATATGGTCAGACAGGAGTCTAAATCCTTCCTGCTATAAAATTGCAACATGATGTAACCCAACAGTAGTTACCATGGTAACAAACAGTCTGGTTCAGGTCATTGACCTTTTTGGTTTAGAGAAGAAGAAGAGGAAACGTAGTAAGAACAATATGTTTTCCTTCGGTAAACATTTTAAAAAAATGTGGTCCATCAAAGTTGAGTTTCCAACAGGTTTGCACAAATTCTGGAATTCTGGAATGGATGAAGCATACAGTACCTTTCTGTGTCTGCGTTTTCTCCTCAGCACCAGTGTTCTTGTTGCTGTTGGACCCTGACTTCCCTTTACTCTTTCCTCCAGACTCCTCGCTCGTGGTGTCGCTACTGGTGGACACCTTGGGCTTGTGCTTGGAGGTCGTACCGTCGTCCTTTGCAGACTTTTTATTCGTGCCTGATGAAACGGCTGAAGAGGCCTTGGCACCCTTCTTGGTTGGTTGATTATCTGATTTCTTGGACTTTTTTGACTTTGGAGGCTAAAATGAAACAAAAGGCAAACTTGTTTAGGAATAAAATCCTCCATCTCAATTTAAACCAAAAATCTTCAGGAAGCCAAAATGAACTAGACTTTATTCTTTATCATCATAATATAGCCAGTAGGTGTCGACCAATCAGAAGGCTCCATTTCCAATGGTTATCAGGCCGTAACCTAAAAAGTGGTCAGTTATTAGAATAACCAACCACTTTTGGACCATACCATTATACAGGGGGACAGGGCACTAACAGCAGTGTTAAGACTTGTGCCATTTATCTTTTAAACAACACATTGTTGTGTATTTTGTAGATATTTGAAAATACAATATAATTAAATAATTAAGATATAAATGAAATTTGAACAGAAAAGCGTACCTCAAGCTTGACTTCCTGTTCGTCCGGTGCAGCAGTCTCCTTGCCTTTCCCTTTCTTGCCCTTTGGCTTGCTGGTTGGGGCTGCAGGTTGCTGGGCGGAGTCCTTGGTTACCTTCTTCTTCTTCTTGGGCGGTTCTTCACTTTCCATCTCCTCTACCAGCAAGTGAAGGGCCCCCTTTGGACTCTTACTTCTCCTGGAGGAGGATGGCAGAACAACAGTCATGAATTCTATAGAGGTTACAATACATATCTCTTTGTGTCACAGGCTTTCTAAACTCATAACTGTAATTGCGTTGGAAGTGAGCATTTCTGTTACGATCAAGATGTAGGAACTACACAACTTTTGGACATTTTTATTGGGCTCTCTTTTTGGTACTGGTATCTTTTTTTTTGCCAGCCTAGCTTGGGTAAATGTCTAGCAAATGGATGCCGACTGGCCAAATAGATACTGTATTTACAGCAACTGAAAGATATGCTTGGAGATTGTGACTACACAGTTTGTCTGTCTGTTCTTGCTATCTATCAAACCCACCTCTCCACCTTGCTTGGCCCTTCCCCAGACTTCACCGAGGACTTGGGAGAATTTTGGTGGAAGCGGCGCTTCCTAGGTCTGCCGGGGCCCCTCTTGACGGGACCGTTCTCCTTCTTCCTCTTCTTCTCCCTGAAAAACAAAGTTAACCTTTCTCAAACTTCTGCAACTGCCACTTTAATGAATTGACAGTAGATATCAGTGAATTAGTAACTCTCACTGTCTAGGGCTCTATGGGGCATGCGTAGTCCAGTGATTACATAGCAACCCTGCCACTGGACCAAGAGGTTGGGAGTTCGAATCCCGGCTGTTGTCGCTCACCCAACATGCATGCTACCGGAAGGGGTCACAGTCCTTAAGACGAGACACTAAGCTGTGGTCCACTGTACATTGTGCTTGTCAAAAAGAGATGGGGGAATTTCCCCAGCACAATGAACCTGTAAATACAGTACATAGCGTCTGTCTTCTCTGTCACAACCAGTGGGAGATTAGCTCTTCGGTGAGCTAAAACTTGATCGAGATCACTTTTCTTTTTTCATTTCTTTTCCTTTCCTTTCCTTTCCTATGGTGCCCCTCATTGTAGGGACATGACAAGCAGGAGAGCTATCAATCATCATACTTCAACCAGTCTTGACCTCCCTTACAGAAAGGAGAGATAATTTACCTTTTCCTCTGCAGCCTGGCCAGTTCCCTTTGCTTCTCCTTGTACCTTCGCTGCAGTTCTGCCAGTTTCATCCTCATCTCCAGCTCCACCAGGTCCATCCCCTCAGGCCCTGACTGCAACTAGAACACATTCACAGGGAAAACCATCTTAACAACTAACAAGCAATTGATTATCATGAAAGTTCATCTGTGTTGGTAGTTACGTGACTACTTCCTGAGAGGGGTGAAAGAGTCCACTTGCAATGTACATCAGGGCTCAACCGCGACAGGGGCCAACATCGTTTACCAGACACCTTTGACATACATTGACACTTTAGAGAAAGCATGTGACAAGTCTCACTGGGTCAGTCAACATTTCTCTCTTGTGTTGGAACAAAGGTTTTACCTTTAAACAGGTGTCTATTGACCATATGCCAAAGGGAAAAAATATGACGATACAGAACTTGTTGTTGGAAAAGACCAAAGAAAGCATAGATGGATAAGATCACTACTGATTCTAAAGCAGCTTTTGGAACTAATCAGTGATACAGTTGAGATGTAAAATATGGCTGTGTCTAGACTCTATGATGCTCCCTGTGCGTCTGACCATCACACCCATAGCACCTCTTCTTTCACAAGAATGAACTTGAGAATGAACTTTATTGCTCAACAATCGTACAAGGTACAATGTATGGCAGTAATACAACAATACTACAAAACTTTACTTACTACAAACTACTATCTAAACAGTATTTGAGTTACCATATGGTCATGTATTGATGATATGTTCTCGCTTATGGAATAAAGTGTACATTGGCCTACATAAGCAGATATGGTAGTTGGACATGACAATAATTCATGGAATGTATCGTACTGTGTACCAGATTGGGTGACTTCACATCATACTTTTTGTAGGCCTATTACGGTTTTATGGGCCCGATTCTAAGACCAGCTTTGATGAGGATTATTACCTTAAATGCAGACCCTGTCCCTTGTTCCTCCTTCTGAGGCAACTTGAGGTTGGAGCGCCACTTCCAGCGGCCCCAGGAGTGGACCAGAGAGTCCTCCGGCCCGGTGCCCTCGTGCTGGGACATGTCTGTTGTCATGGCAGCAGCAGCGGCGGCCATGCTGGTGCAGACAGAGGCCATGGTGACGGACTGCCGCTCCACTTTCACCTTCACTGCCGCAACACCTGAGAGTGAATGTTCAAACAGTAAGACTTCCGTGATTAGTTTTAGATAATGTACCTTCATTTGTATATACAGTATATAAAGTACTGTAGTGTAAATCTCCTTTTGTATTATTATATGCGTGTGTTTTTACTATGTCATTTTTTGTTTGTATGTTTTTCTGGAATGAACCCTGGAAGATTAGCCTTTTGGCTAAAGGGTATCAAAGTAGAGAGAGAGTAATTCGTTTTATGTTAACAGCAGCAAAAGTTCACAGTCTGAGTAGCAAAAGTTTACAGTCTGAAAAAATGGAGATATTCATGACACTATATGTTCGAGGCACTGGCAGGTGCAGAAGAAAGAAAGTCAGCGATTGACTTGTGAGTGGTAATGATATTAAGTTTGCGGTACAGAAGTGAGCACAAAACCAAAAACAAGTATCAGGAATTACAGCATTTGTATTGCTGCTAACAGCTAAGCAACTGGTAAAAAGATGCTCACACAGCCAAAACCTTTCCTGATGTTAAAAGTGCTAGTTTTACCAACCCAAAATTATGATGCTCAGAAGCTATTTTACTAACCAAACGGGACAAAAAGTATGCTTCTACTGAAGAAAATCCCATACAACGCTGACGTACCACTTTCTGATCTCGACTTCTCCTCCGCCAGTCGACTGAGCAGGGCCATCCCTTCTGTGGCCTGGAGCAGCTCCGGGTCCACGTTCTGAAGTGACGTTGTCACCATGGACTTGGACATGGTCACTGCCATCGTGCTGACAGTCACACTGGTCACCATCGTTTCTGCCTGTACACTCATTTCTCTGAGCTGAGTCTGTTGTTGCGGAGTAGCAGTGGGCATTTCGGTTTTTGTAACTACTGGCTTTTCAACACTTGTAGCTGCAACACTAGTGCCCACTGACTCGGTAGACTGTTCAACACTGGTGGCTTGTGACTGTGAACAGACTGTGGCTTGTGGAGGGCTTCGGGGTCTTTCCTCAGTGGAAGATGGTACAATAGCTTGAGTAGACTCCGCCTCTGTGCCATGATGAGGCGTCACACCCTCAGTCTTGATTGGTTGAAAGTCCGTGGGCGGAGCTTTCGAGCTAGCAAGGGGCTGGTCGATAGGCTGCATTCGCTCGGGCTCTGGTGTCGTCTGGGTGCTCGTTTCTATCGCCTGTTTCGCCACCGACTTTTCTGTGTCCTTAGCAGCTTTTGAGACAGAGGAAGGCTCCTCTTTGCTTGTTTGTTCTGTTGACTTTTTCGCGTCTGCCTCCTCCCTTTGCTTCCCGCTCTGTGAGGACACGGAGACACTCGGTGACACGGAGGTGTGGACAGAAGTGGTGGTGGTGACGGCAGCTTGTTCCTTGTCTCGAGAAGACTCGGTCGTGGTTACTGTGCTCGATCCCGCTGACGAGGAAACCAGCCTCATCAGAGCTGGCTGGTCATAGATGTACTGGTACGGAGGATGCGGGTAGGGGAAGGGTCCGTATGGGGGTTGACCGGCAACAGGGATCCCCGCCTGAAGGTAAGCCTCCATAGCTGCCCTCCCGGCCTTCTCCAGAGCAGGGTCTTCGTGAGCCCAGGTGCGAGGTGTCCCACACTTCTCTGCTTGCTGCTGCTGCTGCTTCTCCTGGTCTTGTTTCCTCTTTTCTTCAGCCTCCCAGCGTTTCTGCTCTTCCTGCAGAAGCATCAACCATGAAAATTTTCACTCAGATGTACAAATGTAATTATGTTTTTCTAGCCATTAAATTGTGCATGCTGTATTAAAACAATCTTGCATTGTTTACCTTGGTTGAAACCACTATAGAGTTCAGTTGAGTATATTGGGATCCACAATTAGCATACAAAGTAGGCTATTCTTCCTGTGGTCCTACATTTATACCCACTACATCATACATGACACACAGAAAAATACACAAAGCATAGATACACTGACAACAAGAAGGAAGTAATGTTACAACTTCAGATCATTCCAAATGCTAGAGATATTATGTACAGAAAATGTAGAGGCAATTTAGCCTCTGTACACTTGAAGAAGCCACACAGGCGAAACTGGTGGTGTGACGGGCTGAATAAAAGTTCTAAGCGGCTCCAGATATCTTACTGAGGGATGACTGCATGAATTAGGCCCACTCTAGACGAAGCATTTCGCGACAGCGGCGATATTTCCCGCTGTCGGGACGCCGCTGTCGCGACGTCTTTATACACACAAATCTCTTTGCATCGAACATCGAACATCCGAATGTTCTAACGCGTGAAATCCAAAATGGCGGGGGAGCCGCCAATGTTTTTCCTCGCCGTGTGTCAGATGTTTTTCTTTATGTTAGTCACTCGCGTCTTGTCCAATATGAGGCGACGAGCAAGGGGTGCACGCAAGAGACGGTTGAGATACCGGGAGATGTTGCTGACACGTCGCGCCCTGCTTACCTCCCCACTGCCATTGCTTTGGCAAAAGGTGGTGATCCTGTCCACCGGAGGATCTGGCGATACGTTAAGAAACCCGCGACCTTTTGGCAAAAATTTGTTCAAGGCACACTGTGCGATACAGAGTTTTACAGGCGCTTCAGGATGTCGAGGGGAACATTTTAGATGCTCTGTGACAAACTGAACCCTGACCTCCCGCTGTCGCGAGTTCTCTATACGCACTTTAAGTTGTCGGGGACTCCCGCTGAGTTGTCGGCCGACAACTTTGGAGCTGTCGTCAGAAAATTTCATGACAGCGGGACTACGCTGTCGGGAATCCTCTCTAGACGGCGTTCCTGCTGTCGGCGTGCCGCTGTCAGCAGTTACCGCTGTCGCGAAATGCTTCGTCTAGAGTGGGCCTTAGATATCGGTCAGTTTGAGGAATGAATCTACTTTACACAGAAACGCTGAGACAGATACAGCAAATGTACAGTACCTGAGCATGGTGTTGGTGCAGTGCGATCTGGTACTGTTCGGCGTGACGTAGCTCCTGTTGCCGCAGCAGCTCCATGTGCTGCTGATGCTGGTGCTGCTGCGACATCAGCTGCAGGTGGTGCGCGTGCTGCAGGTGGCTGGGGGGCGGCGGGGCTGAGCCGGACGACCACACCAGCTGCTGCTGCCGCTCTAACATTTCTGTCACAAGAAGAAGATGGTGCTATTTTAGTGGTGCATTAGTGAAAAGTATCCACTTTGGATTACTGTAATTCCTTTTTTTCCCAGTACTTTCATGTTTGTAGTTTTTACAGAGACTTCTGTACTGCAAACTTCTTATTTCTTGACTTTCTTTTTTCTGCACCTACCGCCACCATGAACATATTGCTCTGTGAACACCTCCATTTTTCTCAGACTTCAAACATTAAGTGAACTACAGTATATAATTTCAGTGTCCCTTCTCTGATTCAAATTGTTCTGCTAGTGGCGTCAACTTTCTAGAATGAGTGACCTAGCCTTGATAAAAACTACTATCACCAGTAAAAGAAAAGCTGACCACCCAAAAAGGGATGTTTCTTCCTCACCCCTTCTCTGATTCAAACTGTTCTGCTAGTGGCGTCAACTTTCTAGAATGAGTGACCTTGATAAAAACTACTATCACCAGTAAAAGAAAAGCTGACCACCCAAAAGGGATATTTCCTCCTCACCCCTTGTCTGATTCAAATTGTTCTGCTCTCTAGAATGAGTGACCAGATTTTGAAAACTATCACCAGTAAAAGAAAAGTCGACCACCCAATAAGGGATGTTCCTTCCTCACCCCTTCTCTGATGCCCACCTGGGTTAGCCAGTGGGGTTCCTGGCGGCACCAGTACCAGCCCGCCGGTGACCGGGTCCCGCGCCAGCTGCCAGCCACCGTGGGGGGCCAGGGGAAGTGCTCCTGGCTCCAGGCCCACTCCCGGTGGGGGCGGGTGAGAGGACAGGCCGGGGTAGGGGTAATGGCTGAACCACATGGCCGGGGCTGGGCTGCCGCGGGTCACCATGTGGGGCGGGACGTGGGGATGGGACGCCAGGCTGCTGGCCCAGGGACTGTTACTGGGGAGGCTGGCTCCTCCTGAAAGCAAACGGAGTAATTTTAACTTCAAATGCAATGTTCAACAACAGCTGTATTTTGTGTTAATTTTTTTTCCTGTGTCGTTACCGTATTGGCCGTAAGATCTGTATCTGTATCAATATAGCCGGTATAACCTCCCCTTGGCATAACACACCAGCTTCAAAGGCATGCGACACGGCGGCAGCTTCCCTTATCACAATGAAGGACTTGTTACACCGAGCCTGTTGAACATCTAAATCTAAACATTGTTTAAAACTACTAGTATCTGGTGTCCCTACTGTACTTGGTGGCAGCGAGTTCCACTCTACAATAGTTATGGGTGACAAAATGTACTGAATCTATCACATTCAGCATCTGTGGTTTTTCAATAACCAGTTCTGAATGGTAAAGAAGATAACAATCAGGCATACACATACCTGTCACCACCAGATTCCCGCTCAGATCGTTCATGACCTCCCGTGACCCCTGCGGCTTGGTGCGTAGGGCCATCTCGGCCGCCAGCTCTCGCTGCTCCCGCAGGAACTGTTCGCGGTCCTTGTCGTGGTGGGCTGACGGCGCGCTCTGACACCTGTCTGCCGGCGCGCGAGGCGGAATCTCTGACTCATCAGAGCTACTGTCTGCGTTTTCCGGTCTGCTGGCTCGTGTGCCTGAGGGTGTCAAGTGTGTGGTACGTGAGAAACACTGGTGGAGTCTGACAGCAGCTTGCAAAATACCTGGTTGGCCAGTTGCCCCGGGCAACCAAATTTTACTTGGGGCAACCTACTTTTGAGGCCCAGTGTGCTACCTGAATTTAAAGAATCGCCCCCCCCCCCCCCACGAAACTCATGCCCACTTGGCTTGCACCACTGTAGCCTGCTTTTTAAGTTTAGGTATTAATGGCTATTACTAGTAACAGTTAAGTTACTGAAGGCTGTTAGAAATACATTGTATTGTCAAGGGTTTATGTACATGTATGAAAGTAATAATTTATAGGTGGGGCAACCTAAAATTCCGATGGGCAACCTGATTTTTGCCGTAGGTTGCCCACTGGGCAAAAAAATAAACAGGGCTCTAGCCAGCATCAGTTTATCTGTCAATTGCAGGAACTTTGTTACATGCGACAGAAAAATTTGTAAACAAATCCGTCAACCTTGATGGACAAATCGACAAAAATATAAGAACAAAGTAGTTTCAAAGCCTGCCATGAAGTTGGACATACATAAATCTCTTAACGCTATTTGTTAGCTTTGAAAACAGACTCTCTATCAACAATTCTAAACACAGTAACGGCTCAGTTTGTAGCTTTGTTCCAACTTCAGGAAAACAGATGAGATGTTTACATGGGATTCCTTTAAACTAATTCCGGTCGGCAGTATTTTAAGTGTACCTCTGTCAGTAGTGGCGGCAGAGTTGCTGGCAGACTGCCCGGTCCCGGCAGGTGCCCCTGTCTCAGACGGCGCTCCCTCAGTCCCTGCTCTCTGTTGTGCCACGGCTATCCCGACAGGGGGCCTCCTGCCTTCTATCCCCTTCCCTGCCACTGATGCAGAGTAAGGGCTGCTCTCTCCGACAGCAGGCACCTTCTCAGCCTTATCCGACACTTGCTGCTTCTCCGTTTTCCTGCTGGGTGTATTTTCTTCAGCAGTTTCGCTCTTCGAGCTAGGTGCAGGGGAAGGAGTGGTTGACTTTGAAGTCTTGCCAGTCTTGGCAACGTCACGATGCTGGGGACTTGGTCTGTCCTGGTGTCTACACTTCTCCTGTGTGGACTCTCGGGGAGAATGTTCATGCGTGGATGGTCCCTCTGGTTGGGAGGAGGACCCTGAAGCTGGTTTTGTGTCCGGTTTTCCTGGTTCGCTGGAACGGTGCCTGTCATGGTTTGAGTCCTGGGAGAAAGGGGTGGGAGGCCAACTCCTTTCAAGAAAGCTTCTGTCTTTGTTAGGGTAGAATTCGAGGAATTTGGGATGATCGGGAGTTAAGTAGCCGTGTTGTGCAGCCAGGGCGGCCATGTGTGAGGCGGCGCTTGCACAGGATCCAGGCATACGCCACTCAGGGTGCATCCTGGCACCCTCGGGGTGAAGTCCGCTCATCTGGCTCAAGTGGCGCATCTCGGGCGCCTCCGAGTGGGAGTAAACTGTTGCAGGGGCATCGTGCAGGGTGACCGCTGACCTCGGCTGGCCGTACTCGTGAATGATGTCCCTGTATGGGTAGTCGTGGATTCTGATCATGTCCTTCTGGGGCCCAGAGGCACCCGGAGCAGCGTCCTTGTCTCTCCTATCTTGAGACGGCGCATTTCCTGACGTCCTACCAGCACTTTGTTCACAACTAGATGAAGATTTTGAGCTCTCTTCCGACTTTCTATCAGAATTCGGACTGTGTCTCCTGCTGCTTGGTTCGCTAGAGGACTTAGTTCTCTCACCGTTTGGAGCAGCACGCGGTTCCGCCGCTCTGCTAGCAGCATGACCATTCAGTTCGGAAGGACCCCTAGCATCTCCAACTGGAATTGCAAGCACTTCTGTTCTGGAATTTGAACTGCTGTCAGTCCCACTGCCCGACTTGTCTGAACCTCCCGCTGCCTCAGACGCTTTACTCACGGGGCTGTTGCTTCGTGACTTGTCCTGGTGTGCGGAGGATTTCAGTTTCCGCGCTAAGAATGTGTTTGGCTGCTCTCCATTCTCCAAAGGGGGAATGTAGGTCTGAGCACACACCAGACTCTTGCGCGTTTCCTTCTCAGGCTGGGCTTGGATGGAATGTGAGTAGTACGTCATCCTGGGCTGGAAACTGCTAGATGTGGTTGTCACCGTTGTCACTGGAAAGAAGATGCAGAAATCTTTAAAATGGAGCTGAGAGAGGCACTATACACAGATCTTGTCAATGAGTGGTTTGCTATCTAGTATATCAAGGAAAAGGGCTGTACTAAGAGCTTTAAATGCAATAAAACAATAAGCTAGTCAGTATCTACTTTCACACAGAGGTTGTGAAGAACTCAATCTTTTACTCATCGTGTTCATTGGGCTGCGTACAATCTGTATCTGCTGGGGTATTTGATGCATGTGGAAAATTACTCAGGAAAGAGAAGGGTCTCTGTGACTTTGTCATAATTTTTTTTGGCTAGAAATAAGAAGTGTTGACTTGGTCAAGGAGGTTATTCTATAACCTCCTTGACTTGATCTTGCTCTACATTGCAAATAGATGTACAACATACAACATAAACCTACCTGACTTCCCATTGCCATGTTGTGAAGGCTGGGACTTGTGTGTAGGTGCAACAGTGTGCACCGGTGCTGCAGTAGTCGTAGCACTATTGCTAGTCCCCGCCACACCCACCTCCCCACTGCTGCCATGTTCAGTCTGACCCAACTTACCACTGTCTGTTGGGGTAGGTTTGGGAGGCTCTTTCGAGTGCAGGTCTGGACTTCTCGCATGAGCTTTCTTTTTGTCCAGAACAGACATGGGTATCGTGTTCTTTTTCTCTGTTGTAGCTGCTAACTTCACTGCACTGTCCCCGTCACTTTTTGCACTGCTGTGTCCAGTCTTCTCAGAACTGCTAGAAGACGTTTCTTTCTTTGTCGAGTCTGACAAGTTTGTTGCGTTAGATTTCAAGTCGTGCTTACTCGAACTGTCGCCATGTCTGACGTGATTGCTGTCACTGGAGGACTTGTTCTCCTCTGACTTAACAGTTCTTTCCCTTTCCTTGCTGCTGTGGTCCCGACTGGATCGTTCAGACTCTTTTGGTTGTTGAGAAGATTTTATCGACCTGGATACGTCTTTCTGGTCGGGGGCTTGGGACACGCTGGCGCTGGCAGCACTGTGGCGCGATGTGGCGTGGAGATGTAAGCCACCGAAGCCTGGTGACCCATGGCTTCCGTTCATCAATCCTGCAACAAATGAAAATTAAGAAACTTGTAATGATGTTTCTGTAACGTACCTGAATAAAACATGGATTGTTTGCCTTATAAGATCTACCTCCATGGATGGAGTGATGTATTTCATTCCTTTTATATGTGATGTTCTCAATGAATTAAAGCCTTTTGTACATATGTACATGATTGAAAACTTTTATTTTTCAGTGACAAATGGATGTTGTGATACTAGTACTTAGCAGTAAACTTAGCACAATATGGGTATAATTTCTTGCTTAACAAGGTTTATGATGTCAAAATTTGAAAACGTAAGAATCTTTTTTTTTTTTGGCCCGCCTTGTTTGTTTTTTTTACCTATCGCATTGGATTTTGCATCTGCGGAGCATGTCATCGATATAATTTACTTTCTGTGGCCTAAGAATCGTACCTCAGAAGACTGGCAAAAAATCTCGGATGAACATTTCTCAAAACAAGGAGTGTAACAAGGCGAAAAGAAGGCGGCGGTCGTACCTTTTCCAGCCTCGTACAATCTGGCCAGGACGCTGCTCTGCGGCTGTGAGCTGGCCGGGCCGCTGTGCAGGTACTGGCCGTACAGCGGGCCGTTCTGGTCGTGCGGCGGTGCTAGGGGCGCCATGGAGGGGTGGAAGTGTCCCGGGTACATGCCTCCTGCCGACAAGCGAGAGAACCCCGCTGAAACAACAACACAAGAGCATGAAGTACATTTCTACATGTACATATCGTTAGGAAGTCAAAGAGAGTATAACTTATCAGGTAATTGTTGTGTAGTAGTAACATTTTTTGTTGTGAAAAATACATTAAAATCTGTAACATAACGGAGACGATCTCAAACAGAACACGTTACGAATCCCTGGACACTGCAACTTTCTTTCAAGTCACAAAATGTTGACAGAGGTTCTCTTAGGAATTAAAGGGTTAGAAGGCAACAAGCAATGTCACCACCACACTTTTTATGCGTCGTCGGTCGACAAGCAACAGTGAGGGAAATTTGAACCACATAACCAGAATAAGGCTTTGGGTCACTCGTGGGGTCTACGGATATCCGCTCTACTCGGCAGAGTTGTCCCTTTGATTCAAACGATTTTCTTCTTTCCGTGGCATTAGTCTTCCAATTGGAGTAAAAACTTACAAAGGCAAACAAATGTGAGTGTAAAGTAAGCCAAACTTTCAAGATAAAGGCGGAATACGCATTCTGAAAACCCCCTGGTTGGCCCCAGTCTGTAGCGCGACCGACGGGAAGGTCCCGTGCTATTTTTAGCACATGACGTTTGAGGACAGACTATTTGGTGAGAGGGGTGGGCGGGGTCTCTGTGGAGAATACATCATTTTCGGGTACTTCTGATCTTTCGATTTTGACACCATTTTTTCTGATACTGATAATTATGGACAGTAAGAAAACGCACCCTTCTCATCATGTACATGATAAATAATTTTTGTCAAGTCTACAGTTTTTGTTGACTGCCTATTTCAAAGAAAAGAACACGCAAGTGTACTTACAACTAGGCCCATTCTACTTTTGAAAGTTCCTTCTTTTCTTTTATTTCAGAGTCCACAACACAAAAGATGAATGGCAAAACAGCTACTTCCGAAGACAAACCGATTCGTTATATCTTTTTAATTCATATTTGACATTTTATGCTTCTCTTGAAGTATGACGTTCCTTCTAGCCTTGACTGTTAGCTTGGACACTTACTGCAGTCTGACTCTGAACCACGTGCGTTAGGCCACACCGATTTAATTTTATGGATGACATCCGCGCGCGCATTGATTTTCGCCCGATCTCAAAAAAAAAAAAAAAAAAGATCACGTATTCCGAGGCTCTGGCCTGGCTTTAGGCCTGGGTAGTGCATGGTGGACGATAACTCTGGTTGACGGCAGCCAGGCTACCGAAGCTCCAAGACTCAAGAACTCAGCAGTGTCGATTCATATATTCCGCAAAAATCCAGCATGTGTCGGCCTGTCGTATACGTCGCTATGTAATGCGCCAAATTCACAATACCAGGTTTGTATTCCTGTGGTTTTGTAGCATTTTTATTTTTGGCCGGATTTTTTTTTTCGCCCGCGCGCACTAGTTTGGGGGTCTTCAGAGGATGTCATCCATAAAATTAAATCGGTGTGGCCTAATCAAGAGTCTTGACGATCACAGGGCGTTAGCAGGACGCTATCGACCGAGAGACATGCCCTGTCGATCAGTGTCTTTTGCCGGTCAGACAGACGACATCACATCGGCAACATGATCCACGTGCACACTGCCGGGGGAGGGCTTGTGGGAGGGGCCAGGATCTCAGAATCAGATATTTGCAGACGCCACGAGGTTGTCAGTTTACAATTTACTTGCAAACTTGTCTTTTGATAGCCTGGGTGCCATCCTATAAGGCCGGGGCTCCCATACTCGCTCCCTAAGAAATTATTTCGTGCTTTTAAATACATGTTACGAAGCAGCTTTTGATTCATTCTTGATACATAATATAAAATGGTCTCTTTATTAGGTGTGGCATGATGATGATTTCTTCGGGACATCGGAACATCCTAGCCTCCTTCGCAGACTTGTTGGACGACGGTTTTGCCGCCGAGGATCCCGGCAAACTCCCTCGGCGGCAAAATCGTCCCTACGCGGCATAACTCGCGTCGCTCCCCGAAAAAAAAATAACGCAGCCATCCCACAAGTCTGCGAAGGAAGCTAGGAACATCCATAAATGAACAGTTACTGGTTACGCCTACAAAAGGGGAGAGAATTTTTTTTCACGATACATAAATTTCTTTATTTTTTGCTTGATAAAATTCATATCTACGTCGCTGACCAACCAACTGAACGCGAGCAAAAAATACACATATCGATAATCCAATCAATACGGTACAGTTCGCATCCAAGGAGCGGTTACTAACGGTCACTCTTTGAATTACGTTCAAAAATGCACATTTCAAAATCTCGGTGAGTGAGTGAAACATGGATATGGATTTTCCTCTGGGCCAGTAGTATGGGCCGTAGGCAAGTAATCGGAAAAGATTTGCCGTCCGCCTGGCTTGCTATTACTTCTAGTACCGTAGTCAGGTGCATCGATATAGCATACCCCGGCGCAGCTAGCTTCACGTTCAGGTAAATAAGCAATGGGCTCTAGACTTCAATATGCAGACAATAATCACCTCACAGTTCGTCGGGTTTAATATCCGTCTTGTTTGAAGGTCCAGCAGTTTTCTTTATTTAGTTTAATGATGATGATTATTCTTGATTAAAGTCTAATTTCTCGCAGTTTGCCAACTATTTGGGCACCAGGCGAGGAGCAGGCCGTTTTTACGCCTACGTAAGGACGTCTGTCTATACTTTCGGGAAGCGTAATTTGTATTCACAGCACGTGAAACTGCATGCGTCGTGCCTTACCATACGAGGCACCACAAAAACTGTTCGTTTTTAGCTGGTTTACAGACGATCTGGCCTTTCACTCCCCCCATGCCTGTTCCACTTGTACCGTTTATTTCAATCAGTAACGTCAAATCCTTCTGAAAACGTGGACGCCAGGGAGAGAACAGGGAGAGATCGGGCGGCTTTACGTTCTTACATGAAGTGTCCCGATGTCGTTCCCATTTGGCATAGTTGAACTTCCCCCTTGTCTGTACATTTCCACTTGTAACCCTTTATTTCAATCAGTAACGTCCAAAGTTTATGCGGAAACCTTGTTCCCCAAATCCTTCTGAAAACACGGACGCCAGGGAGAGAACATCCATGGCTTTACATTCTTACATGAAGTGTCCCGATGTCGCTCCCATTTGGCAAAGTTGTGTCTCCCAAGTGTTACCTTTTGACCCGTTTGCGAAAGCGCAGCTTGCGGGCTTTAATGCCAGAGAGTTTGGAAGTTGAAAGTAAACAAACTTGGCTAAGATTGGAACTTCCTTCTTTCGCTAACCACATGGGACACGTTACACCACATTTCCTGCCCAAAGCTACAGAGAATTACCACCACACGTTGCTATCACATTCCCACTTATTTATGCCACATAAAAAAGTATTCAACGCTTTCTTTACATGATTCAGAAAGCTTCTATAGGAGAAAGCTTGAAGCTCTGATGTCATTTAAGACGATAGCGAAGAAATGCAACTGTAAATTTTAGTATGCACATTAAGTGGCCGGCTGGCATTCCCCTGTTGACGGCAGATAGGAGAGAATCGCCGGCGCGAGGTTTCTTTATCACCCGCAGGACTGGGCCGCCAGGCTGCGATGCTTTCTTCCTTTGCAATTTATGGACGGTGTCCTGAACAGCAATCTGAAACAGCTAGCTAGCTATACAGCCCCGACAAGTTTCAAAAGGATACACAAAGTACCTTCGTGGACATGTAAATCAAAAGCGGTCTGTGGCTATGCGATTCAGGTAAAAAACTATGCTTAGATGTCGTGACTGTAAACAAAAGACAGTAAGAACAACTTCACAATGTCAAAAAAATAGAATAGAGGACGTACGAATGTCACTTTGTTATAGAATGTAGATTATATAGTAAAGAGAGAAATGATCTGTAGAGGCTTGTACAAAACCTATTTCCTTACTTCATACACTTGAGCACTGTAGAAAAGTTCATATTCCTAATGCGACTTGACAGTCCATCGAAAAACATATCTGTTCCTTCATCTCTACTGTAACTGAAAAGCGAGAAGTTGAATTTATGTAATGATAGCTAGTTTTATTTTGTATATATCTTTTCATCATGTTTTTTGTGACCTGTACTTAGCCCAGTGTAGCAAAAATGTGCAATAAAGGTCGTTATTCATTCATTCTAATGTCAAATCCTTTGAAAGTTTGAGACATACGAAATCGTGCACGTGTTGAGCCTACCTTCCATGGTGGACGGGTGCGGCCAGGGGTACTGCATGGGGACGCCGGGCTTGTAGGCTTCCGCGGGCGGCTGGTGTTGAGGCGGCGCCCCGCCGCTCAGGTAACCCGCCAGGAAGGGGTAGCTGCTCCCCGCTGTAGCAACGAGAGACCACAACACGCGTTAGGCGTAACATGTATTCTACATTTTACTGTGACATTTTATAGTCAAGCATGCAACCAACGTAGTTCTACATGTCCGAAATCTCGGCAAATGAACCCTGTGTTCGCAACATCTAGCCCGGGTGCCATCCGTTTTGTAACGGGGCTCCTTGCACTAGCTATCGAGTACAAAACGGATGGCTCCCAGGGTACGCAACATATACATAGATAGCTGTAAAAAAAATTCAGAAAAATTTCTAGTACTCCTGTCCCGTACCCCCGAGCCAAAAAGGGTGAAAGTCTGTAATAATTTGCAATCTGTAGACAGGGTTTTATGCATTGTTCGGAGTTGCAACGTAACTACATCATTAGTGAAAAATGCATGAACGGGGGCCACACGACTGCAGAATGCATATGCCATTTGCGCCCGTATTGGAGAGCAAATGTTACATGCTTGAGTTACAGTCGTGAATACAGCAATATATATTAATGGAAATGCGCGAACTCACAGCGTTTGTAGTGTGTGTAGCTTTAATACAAAGGTTACGTGGAAGATACATATCAGAAACGTAAAGCAGGATTGGGAGTTGGTTTACAGCAACAAAAACGTGAAACCGGGGTCATAACACTGGTGAAGACTTTGCAAAGAATGAACTTTTTTCAACGTCATTTTCGAAGTATTATTTATTCAGTAATTCACTTTGCCGTCAAATCCGCTTTGAAAATTTGAGGCGATTCTGACCCGACGTTTCTCACGTAAGGCTCCTTATTTTTGTCCATACTGCTTCAGTGGACGTCTCTGGCGATTGTCTAGTACCGTTGTTGGCCATTCCCTCATAACTCAACGGATTTTCTATGCACTACAAGCAACAAAGCGTCCATTGAGGAACATGGTAACGCGTGTGGCACACACGCTCCCACACGGCGAGTTGGTTTCAACGCCGGGATCACTCGGATATTCCGCCAAAGAAATGTGAAAGGATTTGACGTTAAAAAGGCGGGCGTTCGTCCTATTACGCGGGGAAATTTTACGTACGTCAAAAACATGATGCCAGGAGGATTTAGACCTCATCATGTAGTCTATACATTTTGCACGCTGTCTGTTTGTGATGGACACGCTGAAATTGGAGCCTTGCTGATTTTCGTGAGGCCTCGGCAGCGAAATACATCAGTGCCCGCCGGTGACAAATGAGCGAAATTCGTGGACAACTGAACTGCGGGCACCCCTGTTTCCAACCGAGACGACTCGATTCCACGCAATATTTCCCTACGCATGTATATACATTTCCATTGCGCGGCTTCGACGTGCGGCATGGAAAAACAAACCTTGGGGAAACTGTTTAAAATTTCACGTTCACATCCCTAATATATGCGTAATACATGATGAGTATGCACAGTTGAAAAGATAATACAGGGCTCTCCCCAAGCAAGGGTGTTCCCCCTTTCCCCAAAATCCTAGCACCTCTCCCAAAATGTTCAAATTTAGGGTTTTCCCTTAGTATTTTCATCAAAATTCACAGATTTTTCATCAACACATTAGGAAGCACCTCTCCCCTAAGAATTTTTGGGGAGACCCCTGTAATATTATTCAAAATCGCGCCGCTGACATTTCTAATAATACCGGCGCTCATAGGGGATGGAAAACTCCGCTGTTTGTTATCGTTCGCTACCCGTGTGAAACACGCGACGAAGGAAGAGGAAGAGCACGGATACACGTATTGTATATTTCTTCCCCGACTCGTTATCAGAGGCTTCCACTGCGAAGCCCGGCAGGAAGAGGCTCGGTCGCCAGCCGGCTGCGCCACGATATCGCGACCGGCAACGTAAATCTGCCATCTTCTCACTAGCACAGCTTTCATGCACACTCGTCAATCTGTCTACTACGCCCCGAACTCCCAGTTTTTGGCATGCTATGGAGGGTCTTCAGGGTCTTTGGGAGCTTTTATGTGTTATTTTCTGATTGCATGTAGAGAACATAGCCGGCCTGGTTGAATTACATAGTCCCGTTCTTTTACTAGAACTGGGCTGATCAGAAAACCAGCCGAAGACCACCATCAAACCCCCAGTTCTAAAAGCCTGCTACGGAGGCTATGCGCTAGTAAATCTGCCATCTTCTCACTAGCACAGCCTTTCATACACACTCGTCAATCTGTCTACTAGGCATTGGTTTAGACTAGGGCCGCCAGTAAGCATAATCTAAAGTTATGTTTCCAAAAAAGCCACGTCGTAGGGTCATGTCCTTGTATGTGTGAACGGCTGTGGTGGTGGTGCGAGATGTGTGTATAAATCATATCGAGAAACGGAAACCCCGTTGAGGAAAGAAGGCCCCATCTGGAGTCAAGGATGTCACAACCCGGCTACAGACCCTTTTCAGTCACCACCGTGACCTAATGACCCGGAGAAAGCGGGGCACCGGGGGCGCCGACCCAGCTCCCAGGCGGGACAGGATGGGCACTTGCCCCGCCTGCATATAGATGCGCACGTGGCAAGCCTCAATATTGACATTTCACAACACAGTACGTAACGGGCTGGTTCGTTTGATGTAAACCAGTTCTACTGATTAATTTGGGGGATAAGGTAGCAACACAACCAGACGTCAGGCGAATTTTCGTGACATTTCTTTTTCATATACATGATGCATTTTATTTTCATTCTACATGTATAATTACGAAGGAAAACTCAAATATAAATTGCAGTCTACGCATAGTGTTGCAGGCACTGCGTCTTGAAGTTTGCCCTTTTCTGCGAGGAAAGGTCGCATCATGCGCCCGAGCCGCCGGAGTACTAGTAATGATCATTACCTGGTCGTATGAAAGTTGACACTGTCGACAGAATCATGGTGCAGCCGTAGTCCAAGTCGAGTCGAACAAAAATGTTATAAACTGACCGAAAAAACACACAAATATATTAGATCTTGCGCAAAAAAAACAGTTACTCAAGCAACTTGAAATGAATTTGGAAACAGTCAGACATTTCAGGTACGTATAGTGCACCTGACCGCACGTAGCATCTACTACCTTTCGTCAGTGTCTTTTGCCATGTATCTTATTACCTGGATGTCTAACCTTTACCGACATATTAGATCTTATTTACTAGTAATTTCTTACCGGGACCAAATAAAATATTAATAATATATTATTGATCACCAATATATTTATAATAATATTGATCACCAGCTTGTTCTTGCTTGTAAAAATATAGAAATGCAAAATGAGCTCATTTTATTTAAAGACGGGCGTCCGAAATGGAAATGTTTAAAAACACTGCGACGACATCGCCCCCGCAATCCGAAGTAAATGTCAGTATTTCGCCGCTAGCGTATCTCCAGTTGTTATTAGGCGGCCCGACAGTGACGTCCACGCCGCATGAGGTCCGCGTGAAGAACTCTATAATTCACAAAATAATATCGGACTTTATCTCCCAGCAGTAGCTTGTTGAGGATATTAAGGCGATCAATCGCAGAAAACCACGCCGCTAATTCCAGCCGAAATTGTTCATACACTGCTTCACATCCAATGACTTGCGGTTGCCTCTTTATGATACGTCTTACGTCTGCAAGTGTCATTCCTCTCGTGTAAGTATGATTGATTTTGCCAACTTTAGCCACACAATAGTTGAAGCCTCTTCAAGGCTTGGCCACATTCATGACATTCTACACCTGGCTTTCGAACGTATTTCGTGAATCAAAAGTGTAGCTATGATCCCTGGTCTTAGCGAAACGTAAAACTTGCGATCATGCCATGATAATTTTAGCGACGTGACTGAAACAAATTCAAATGATCAATGATTTGTTATGATTTAAATTATGATTTTTGTTATGATCAATGAATGTTACAATACAAAATATTGATTTCTTATGATTGAAATTACTATGATTATTGTTATGATCAATGATTTGGTATGATTAGAATCATTATGATTTTGTTCTGATCAATGACTTATGATTTGAATCATTATGATTATTTTCATGATCAACGATTTGTTACGATACAAAATATTGTTATTATTATGATCAGTGATTTGTTATGATTTGAATTATTGTGTAATTATTGTGATGGTTCATTGCATTGTATGTATGTTGTTTTGATATATGACTAAAAACAACTTCAAAGGCTAGACATCGTTAATACATTGATCGCTAATCTTTTTCTAAGCTCATGCTACGTTCAAGGAACTCATTTTAGAGGACACCTTCTATTAGATAAAACGCTCACGTCATATACTGTTCCATCTGAGTTTTTTTTTTCTGACACAAGAATGTTTCTAGGGAAAGGCATCGCTATTACAATAGTATCAGATCGCCCGATTCATCTCCCTAAACTTTATATCGAAGAGCTGCTGGGAGCGAGTGGCGCAATCATAGATTGATGTAGATTGTGGTGGATAGTTGTGACGGCAGACTCAGAGGCTCTGTCCAGCTCCTCCGGGATGGCAAATAATTGCACAAATTGTGCATTACATGGTCGTATTTTGTCTGGAAGTGTACTACAGGGATAGACAGTCTAACAGGCCCCCTACTCTTCCCATGCAGTCTGGTGAAATGACACTACTTAGAGCTAGGCAGACGTAAGTCTATAGCCTCTACCAGGCTTCAAGCGGGAGCTACAAAATGTACTCTCTAGCAGACCAACTACCTTGGCTTGTCATCTCTCTATTTGACCGATTTCTACTCTTGCCAGCCGTCTCCCGAAGCCTGGTAAAGTCTCAAAGCTCGCGCAGAGCGTTCACATGCAACACTACATACCAGCGGAATCCCACAACAACCTGTTGTAAGCTAATGGGTGAGAATCTCGTGGGATTTGACGAGAGTGTGAGTCATAAAACCGCAAAAATCGATTGCTGAAACATGATGTGGAGGTTGTATGTGCAGCCAAGAGGGGAGAGAGGGAAACGGCGTTAGCAAGCAAGCACTGCTGCGCTCCTCTACCTGATTCCAGACGCTTTACAACCCAACTGGGATCTACTGCTCTGGGATACAGGTCGATACTGATGTG